TTATTTGTGATTTTGCATCAATACACATAGTAGTATTTATTTATAGGTTTTAATACTTCACAGATTATATGACTAATGACTAATGATTAAATTTAACAAGTATATCTTCCTATTTTATTTTATTGCTTAGAAAGTAAGTCCTATTAAATAATATTGTTTCTTATCCCTGACTGCTAATTTAATATAGGTGAAATTAAGCCTTCTAGGACTTTGCTACATAGAATATTATTGCTGATTTATTCCAACGTTAGCTCCACTGTTGTATATAATTTAGGAGTGGGAGTGGACTCACCTTTGATAGAAATAAAATTATCTGAAATAGTCTTCTAAAATATGATGGACATATTTCAAAATGGTGTATTTTCATTATATTAATCAGAAGTTAAGATTTTACCTTACTTCTTAGACTCATTTTAATTCCTGTCAATGAAAAGAATGTCTTTGTAAAATATTACAATGGGCTAAAATGTGTGTTGTTATTATAACCAAAGCAATATTTATTAATTCATATGTACTGACCATTTAATTTGTCTCAAATTAAAAACCCATTCTTAGATTTGAGTTGGCTTTTGTATATGTACTACATAAAACATTTAATAAATATATATTTTGTCCATTATTTTAATTTTTTGTGTGCTGTGCTCTGATAAAGAAGATTAACTTTGATTTAATTTCATTTATTTTCAGCACATATCCTGCTGTAGAGAATAAATAAAAATAAAAGAAGGAAACATTTTAAGAGTTTAGGGAATCTTCGAGAGGGAGGACTTTTCCTATTTTTGGTCTATGAATTTTATAAATTTTTAAATATCAACAATCTGTATTATATAGGAAGTACAGTTTATTTTTTGAGATGACAAATAGTGCCGTTATGATACGTATTTGAAATTGTGGAGGGTTACTGTGAGTTTGTCTTTAATAAGTTTGATTCCCATCTTTAATCACCATTTATTATAATGATGTTTAAAAAAATATGCTGTATATTTCTACTGGAGATAAGAAAAATTCCAGATTTTTTAATGCTGCAAGGCTTTAGTGTATATATAAGCTTTTCTTTAATTCCTGCACATTGGATGAACATTCTTTGTTGTTAAATGTAACTGTCATGAAAATTGTTAAATAGATATGTAATATATGAAATTAGAGTTATGGTTTTCTCCTTACAGATTTTATATTCTCATACCCACTCAATCATACATGTATGTTATTTAGAATGTGTTTTTGTTCAATTGACTTTGGTTGGTCTTATTGAAATCCTTTGTGCCTTGACATTAGATATAAGATACGGAATTTAAAATCATAGAGATCCAAGTGTATGCATTGTTACATACTCAAATCATAATGAACTGAGTTTAGGAAGTTAGTTCTCTTTACGGAAGGCCCACATGTCATTTAACTGACTTTTAATTGTTTAGTGAAAGTTGACTGCTTATGGATTGTTTCACATATTTTTTTCCCAAGGGATAGGATAAAAGTCTATTTTTAAAGTCTCCACAAAAAAATAATGCTTAAAATTATAATGATTCATTGAAGTTGGCTATTTATGAAATTGAGCCATCTCAGTAGACTCAAACATTTCCTGCATCTAGGTTAATTACTATAGTAAATTTATTCCTTTATAGTTATATTGAATATTAGAACCAAAATGCTTTTGTATTAATTCCTTGTACTGTGAATTTATCATTTTGTAGCCATGCCACTAGAAATTAATATCTTTAATCAAGTATTAGAAAAATAATCAAGGAAAATGTTTTATATTAATGAAATACTAGAGTCTGAATATTTTAGGAGAAAGTTTTGTTGAGTTTTACTTATTCCATTAATAATAGAGAGATGTGACTTATATAGACAAATTAGAGTATTTATATAATTATTTTAAAATATTTTTAAATTGATTTTAGAGAGCGAGGAAAGAGAAAGAGAGAGGTAGAAACATCGATTGGCTGCCTCTTTCATGCCCCACACCGGGGATTGGGCCCACAACCTGGGCATGTGCTTTGACAGGGAATCGAACCGGTGACCTCTTGGTGCATGGATCAATGCTCAACCAGTGAGCTACACCAGCCGGGCACAAATTAGAGTATTTAAAAAGTTAATAATATCTTCAAATTTAGTAATTACATGGAAAGAAGAAACAAATATAGTTTAAAACTACATATTTATATTTTAGATTTTATTTTTTTGTTTTTAAACAAAAAATTTATATTTTAATGGGTGATAATGGAAGCTAGAGATAAAACTTTTAAGAATCTGTTCAGAATGTGAAGGAAGTGTAACTGTATACTAAAATGTATAAAATATTATTGTATGACTTTAGTAGATATCTACAATACTATCTATGGCCAAAATTGAGGGGACATATTTTTTTAACCTGAAAAATCTGTAGCATTCATATTATCACTGCCAGTGTAAGGTAAAAGTTATCGGTGGCTGGAAATCACTTGGCCAACTGTATTTGTCGCATCTCAAACCAATTAAATTAAACTCTCCACTCAAGATCATTATTCTACAAAGCTTATAGATGATAGATAAACTTTGCTTGGAAGCAGTGTTTTCATAGTAAAGTGTGCTCGGGTACCATCATTAAAATGTACCAGAAGTGCCCTGGCCGGTTTGGCTCAGCGGTTAGAGCATGGGCCTGCGGTCCAGAGAGACCCGGGTTCTGTTCCCGCTAAGGGCACGTACCTTGGTTGCAGTTTGTCCCCGGCCCCTTTCACATCGATGTCACATCGATGTCGATGTTTTTCTCTCTCACCCTCCCACTCTACCTGAACAAAAAATGGAAAAATGTCCTCGGGTGAGGATTAAAAAAAAAAAAAAAGTACCAGAAGCATCATCTTTTGGCTATTTACGTATAAGCAAACATTCAGGAGCAGGTTTATCTAGATTTCCTTAGTACAAATTCGGTGAAACAGAGGATTGAACCACTATATGAGAAATTGGCCCACAAGTCAGAGAAGAATCCCAAGTATACATGTTTTAAGATCTGAGTCAGGTCATTGAAGCGCACAACAAAGTTTGGTTACACGTAGTCTTTTAAATAGGATCGATGTTCATCATTTTTTTTTTTTTTTAACCTCAAAGACTTCTCAAAGCAGCTTTCAAATTAGTATTTTTATCTAAGTGGTTTTATTTTTGTCACAGCATTTCAAAATGAATCAGCACTTAAGAATTTATCAGGCTTTATTACTACGCATATGAAATTTTAGGGAGAAAGCTTTATGAATTACAATAATATTTTACATGATATTTGTAGTTAATTTTAATTTTATTATTATAAATGCTTTTTTTAAAAGAAAACATTTTATTATTATGATAGTAAAGATACAGCAACTTTAAAAATAAGCATATGACTTTTAAAAATAAAAATAAAGGATAAAAGAGTTTCTTTTTATTAATTTTTTTCTATTTCATTAACTGAAGTGGTCCAGTAGGAGATTAAAAATCTCTAATTGTTGACACCAAGTCGTGTATACATTTTAAAGTGTATGATTTTGAGAGGGATGTAGACTCCATGTAGAGTAAATTTGAACAGACTATAGTTGCTGCTAATGCAATTTTTAATATCCATTCCTTTATAGAATATATTTTATCTATATGACATATTTGAAGAACATTTTTGTATTTATTGTAGTGTGTATAACATTCTCCATCAACTTCTTTATGATATAATGTAAAAAGAAATGGGAAGAGCTTAAACTGAAATGTATGGATTTTTTTATCCTCACCCAAGGATATTTTTCCATTTATCTTCAGATAGATTGGGCGGGAGGGGGGAGAAAGAGAGAGAAAGAAACATCGACGTGAGAGGGACACATCAACTGGCTGCCGCCCGCACAACCCTGACCAGGGCCAGGGACGAACCACAACTGAGGTACTTGCCCTGGACTGGAATCGAACCCACAACTCATCGGTCCATGGGCCAATGCTCTTATTTCTGAGACAAACCGACCAGAGCTGCAGTGTATGGAATTTTTTGCTTGCATATTTGAAATGTTTATTTTTTATTACATTTCTTTTATAGTGCCTACATCTGCCATGTCTGTAGTCTACATAAAAAGTTTTTATTTAGGACCTTCACAGACATCAGCCAAACATATATCCCCAGTCGTCAGCTAGACATCTCATGGTTAACTGGCATGCTTTACTCAAGCTCTTAATATTCTCTTTCAAGATCCACAGGGAGAAAAATTTTAATTGCCTTAATCTGATATATGAAATGTGAAAGGTTATTTTTTTCACAAAGGTTATTTTTCCCACTCTACCCTTTCTGGGCAATTACTGAAAACACTGAATTTTTCCTTTGTTTTTTTTTTCTTTTTTTCTCAGATGCTTTCTTTAGCATTATATTTTTGAGCCAAAACACTAAAACTAAAGGTTCATAAGTTTGTGTTTACAAAGTTAGAATTGTAAAATCTTTTTTATGACTTTAGTAAAATTGAATACTCTGTCATTTGTGTGTACTCTTTTGCTAAAAGCTGTTCTTGATAATTAATTTCTCAACACCATGTCCTAAAAGGATTTGTTTTCTTTTTCAGATGATAAGGAAAAAGGATAGAGGCCAAGGAATAATTTTGAAAAATATGATATAATTTAGAAGAGTAGAAAGGGAGACACTAAGTTTAAATACTTACCTCAATTCCATGAATAAAATTTTAGCAAGCATCACTAGATGGCAGACTATGCCTTGGTGTGGATAGTCATTTGAGGGGGAGTGGGATGGATTAATCCAGTGCCTTCCATACATTTTGTGTATGTTTCAGGCCTCATGATGACAGTAAAATGAAGCTCTCCTATAGTCTGAAGTGCATTTGTAACACACATTCATTCCAAGAATTCCAGTCCTAGCCTTTGCAATGCAGGAGTGTATCATTCTAGGATGTACACACTCAAGATTATGATATTCATAATCTTTTATAGATTGAAGAAGTCATACTTAAAATAATTAAAGCATTCTCTACTTTAAAGTGTTACACTTTCGTTTTTTCCATATTGTACAGGTGACTTGGATTATTACTGGTTGGATCCTGCCACGTGGCATAGCCGGGAAACATCACCGATTAGTTCGGTAAGCTTTCTGGGAAGTGAGTGTTTGGAATTTAGGGGTAATATATGCTGTTTATTGTCCTTGGTCTGATATGTGATAGATAGTAATCTTCTTCTGCTCTGTTATACATTTTATGAGAGCAAGTATGATTTCATTTAAGACAGAGCAGTTATGAATAAAAATATTATCACTGAATAATTATAACAAATTTTAAATAAAAATAAATCAATAAATGATGACTGTATAGAAATTATATATTATTTGGTTAAAGATAGCAACATTAACAGCAACTCAAAATACAAAATCAGTTTTCTTATATAAGCAAATATACTTTTAAATTTCAATTAATTTTATTTCAGGGATGTACCTGTTTTTAGGGATGTACCTAGTTGCTGACTACTTTTAGAACTACTTATGATAAGTATCTACTGCAAATAAAATATAACTGTAAATGAAAATTGTTACAATCCGAGGATAGAGCTCACCAGAATCAAAGATTCCCTCTACAATGTCTTTTAACTGAAGGAAATTATATCATGTGACAACGAATAATTATGTGTTTGTAAGAAAGAAAACAACTATTCTTTAACTGTATTCATATTTTACTAGCATCCTGTAACGTGGCAACCTTCTAAAGAGGGGGACCGATTAATTGGACGTGTTATTCTTAACAAGAGAACAACCATGCCCAAAGAATCAGGTGCATTACTGGGTCTGAAAGTAAGTATGCTGGTTTAAAATGTTTCTTAAATGGTGAATTCAGTATGGACTGGATTCAACAAAGTTTCTGACAATGGGTTTTAAATATTATTCTCTCTTCTCCAGATAAGTCCTTCTAGAGAATATGTCTTGTTAAATATATTAACTAATGATAGATTTAATATTTCATCTAGTTTAATATTTTATTTATTTATTTATTATTTTTTTTTTTTTGTTACAGATATTTTACCTTTTTACCCCATTGGCACCCCCCACCCCACCCCACCCTCCACCCTGTCCCCGGCTTAGTTGTCCATGTCCATTGATCATGCATACATGCATATAAGTTCTGTGGTTTATCTCTTCCCACCCCCCCACCCCCCATCCCCTCTTCTGAGGGATGTCAGTCTGTGCCCCACTTCCATGTGTCTGGGTCTACTGTATTCCTCAGACTGTCATCAATATTTTAAAAATACTTTATTAATATGGCAATGATATATTAGAAAACTACGATAAAATAGGAAAACTAAAGAATATTTCTCTGAATATAAAGTTCAAGGACAATTTTTTATACCAAAAAGGTTTTAATGGGTGGTAGTAAAGTTAGATAATGTGGACTGCATACTTTTATTATATTTTGACAAAGAACATAAAATATTCATTAAAATATTGTTTTCTAAATGCAATAGAATTTATGGTAATATCAAAAGAGTAAATGTTTCCTTTATAAATATTAATTTACTTTAACAGATAAAATGAAAAACTAATAAATTACAGATTATATTTTATTGTAGGAAAAATATATGCATGCATTTTGTTTTATTATGTGTGTGCATGTGGGTTAAATCACATGGTTTTATTTGCTTTTGAAAACGTAGAGAAAAATTTAAAGATGTCTTTAAAATTATTTACCAAGAGATTGTATTACAGTTGTGTGATAGTTTGACTTCTTCCAAGCCATTGACTATTAATCCAACTAAAATTTTAAGTTAATGTACTTAATAGTATCACCTTATTGATTATTACCATAAATTCTCTTGCTATGAGATAATTCTGATCACCTCCACTAATGGGCACATCCCTAAGAATTGTGGTTCAGTCTCAACCTTTGAGAATATCTCTCTGACTTCTAATTATACATTATATAGCCCCTGTTTTGGAAGAAATTAGACTTAGAAATGTTCAGAGGTATTTATTTTTAGTTACAGTAGAAAAGCCAGGTGACAGTGTTAAATATTCTGTAATATAACTCAGACTTTGAGAGTCAGATTAAATTGCGTATATTTCAGATGAGGAGCTCAGTAGCAGAGATAAACTTAGGCTGTTACTCTTTGACCACAGTAAATTGCTTCCCGGAAGTGGCCTGTTGTTGGTTTGAATTCCTAGCCTTTATGTTTTAGACCTACATTCCACTAAAAATATACAAAAGAGATCAAGATCTGATGTGCCCATGCAGCATTATCTGCGTTCAGAAATATAATTCACATGGTGGGCATGAATTGAGAGGATAAAGAAAAATGAATGCTAATGAATGCTAATGTCAAAACAAACACTCCCTGTCTGATGGTAAGTAAGGAAGGTCTAGCATTTGTCTTCTAAGGCTGCACATCATTCATGTCGCCGTTGTATTGTGGGGTCAAGATAAGTAATCAATACATAGCTTCCTTAGGATACATGGTCATCTTAAATATAATGAGGTGATGTTTTCTTTTTAAAACTATGCTGCCAGCTCCTTTAATCAAAAATGTATTTCACTTTATGAATGTTCCCACTCTCAATTCTAAATACATCATAAAAGACTGTGTGATTAACTCCTCAAACTAATAGACTTATGTTTCAGTCTTGGGCACTTATAAATTTATAATTATCCAGGTTGTTGGAGGAAAAATGACTGACTTAGGACGCCTTGGTGCCTTCATCACCAAAGTAAAGAAGGGTAGCCTTGCAGATGTAGTTGGACATTTAAAAGCAGGTAAAGTTTCTTTTGACACTTAAACAATTTGTACTCTGTGCATGAATTGGTGGTTTTCAAACTTGGGTAAGTGATAGCTAAGTCAATTAAGTAAATAACTAATTTTAATGCATGAATAAAGATTTTTTTCTTGATATCTTCTCTAGCAGTTTGGAGAAAATAAGTATAGGAATCCTTTTTATTTATGTAAAAATAAATAGATGCAAATAGATTACTAATTTTCATAGATGGTTTCATAATGTTGCTACAAATATATAAATATTTTTACATATGAAAAAATATCACTATTTTTTTAGTTCATGTTTAAGCTATAGTTATTACTACAGTTTTTCATAGTGGTCCCAAAACACTTACTCAGTAGCAATGTTTTTAATAAAATAGAATCCCAATCATATTTCTTATACATGTTATGTAATAAAAATAGTTGTTAATTTAAATTACATATACTGTACTCATGAGCAATAAATTTTCTTTTGAGAGCAGAGCCTAGACAATTAAACTGGTTGTATATGTTTTACATTTATTTGTAAAAATGAGAAACTATAAGAAACATAAGCAGAATATATAAGGTAAAAAATATACTTTTTTAATTTAAGGGGATGAAGTTCTAGAATAGAATGGTAAACCTCTGCTGGGAGCTACAAATGAAGAGGAGAACATCTCTGGGCTATGTTTTCAGTTTTTATACCTTAAGACAGTAATTGTTGAAACCTTTAGAAAAATATTCTATGAATCTTAAAGACATTTTTGTTGTAACTGATTACCAGGGTAGCAGTTCAATACTATTTAGGTTTTTCCTTTGACAGGAGCATGCTATGCAGGTGTATATACAGAAAATTCAATTTAGGGTTGTTTCTTTTATTTACTATACATACAGCTTTGAAGATGTGCAGAGGGAGAGTCCACTACTATTTCTTATCAGGGACTAGTTATCATTCAATAACTAACTCAGTCAAGAGTGACTATGTCAGTAAATTAAGTGTTTGCTTATTTCATGACCCAAAAATAAGCCCGAGGAAGTATAAGAATCTCTTGTTGACTATTCCAATGTTAGATAACTTTAAATACACAAACCTGAATTTTCAGATCAGATAATAAATGCAATAGCTTACGATTTTGTTTTTGTGTTTTAGTTGAAGATTACTTAAAGAAGTCGGTGAAAGGTTTTTCTTTTATATTTTATTTATATAACACCCTTATGTGCCTAGAGCCTGAGAAACTTCAATCTAAAATGTTAAAAGTTCAACTTTAGTAACTATAAAACATACTAGTATACTTTCTCTTTAAGCAATTGATATATGTGAAAAAAGTATTTTAATAAAGTAAATCATATATGCTATCTGATTTACATTATAATTTAGAAACTATATTTTCCTTCTATTTGCATATAAATATGATTGGTCTATAAAAAGACAGTGCTGTGGTTTTTTTACCATGACTTTTGTTCAACATTTGCAGTCTTGCTTTAATCTTGGCATAGCTTTCTCTACAGCAGATGCCCCTCTTAAGTTCGTGCACTACTTGATAGAATCATCAAAACCCCAAAATAGACACTGACACTCTCCTCATAGACTCTTCTGGGTCTCCCAGTCATGATGTGTTCAAGTCAAAGCTCTGTAGCTTTGTCCTCTACTGACATTTCCAGCCACTATTACCATTCACTTAACCCTCTAGCCATGGCAGTCTGCCTGTTGGTCCCTGGCAAGCTGTTTCTGCCTATAAGACCCGTTCAGTGCCTCTAGCCTATCTGATTTCTTTTCTGCTTCTGTGCTCTGCCTTTCAAACTCATCTAATGTTGCCTAAATTCTAAAGTATTTCCTGATATGTCACCCAGAACAGTAACTAATTACTATCGCCCTGGCACTACCAGGCTCAATTTCTGGTCCTCAGGTGAACTCATATCATTTCATGAAAGGTATTCATTTCTACATTTTTCCCCCAACCAAATTTAAGCCCAAATAAAGTGTCTTCATTTTTTTATCTTTGTATCATCATAATCTATATCCCTGCCTGAAGAGATTATTCATACATAAATAAATATTGTTGAAGAGACCAGCTTCTGGTTTAGAGTGTATTGGTTTGGAAATAAATAAATACATTATTAAGTTAATTTGATATTAAGAGTTATGCTTCCAGGTTGCTGTCTATAAAAAGGAAAATGGTATAATGCCAATGTTTTTGCAAAATGTTGATTGCAACGCATTACTGGGTAAAATTGATTTAATGATTGGCATCCATCATTTAAAAATTGAAATAGAACATAATAGAATAGAAAATATCAGGGTAAGTATTGTTCCAGAAAATATTTTTATACACATGCACACACATATACATATATACACTCACATGATTCAAACTCTATTTTCTTGGCCAAAAAAAATGTAAGACTACTAATATATGTTTAAATATGTAATTCTTTTCTTTTCTTTTTTTATGTAAAGTATATTTATTGCCTACTTGATAAACATGGCTAGGGAACTTTTTAGGTCAAACTGTTAAAAGTCATTTAACTATTGGTAATAGCTGTACTCTTACCAAACCAAAGCGGCATTATGTGCTTTTCAAATATTTACTTTTTACTTTTGAGTAAGCAAAGATTTGGGTGGAAAAAAAATGTTACTTTAAAAGAGCTCTATCAAAACAAAATTTTCTATTAAAAAAATAGATAGCTGAAAATGAAGGGAGTTCATGTTTATGGTTATGATGATATGATTCATTAGTTCAAAATTATTTACTTAGCTACTAACATGTTATAGACACTGAGAACAACAAAATAAGTAGAAACAAAAATCTTAAGATGCTTCAAAGTATCACTGAGGCTGGAATAATATAGCTGAGCCTGGAATAGTATAGCATAGAGCCTGTATTGAAAGGTACCGGACAGAGAACCATTTGGAACCTAAAACTTTACTAAATACTTATGAAAATAAATAGTATTTCCCAAATGATCTATGGTGAAAACTCTAGTTAAAAATAACAAGTTGTTAGCCCATGTATTGTAATATGGTATTACATACTCTCCTTGATTAATCTTAGAATATTTAACAAACGAATGATTACTTTTTATTTTAAAATATTTTCTAATTTTATATGCTCACAGTATATTTTATGTATAGAATGTATGTGTTATGAACATCTGGAAGTGGGTTAACTGTCATGCAACAGTTTTACATCTGCTTGCTTTGTAACTTTGTCATAGCTACCCGCGTTACCCTATGGGTATGAATTCAAGTCCTTTCATGCATTTTTATTCTGTTGTGCATCTGGTGAAGGCGATGAAGCATGACTTATAACTGGACAATTCATGCTAACAAATGTTAATTGCAATTTCTACCAAAAATAAAAAGCAGGATTTATGCAGAATTTAATAAGAATCTTTTACATTTAGAGACGCCTACATTTATTATATGGAGGGCATGCTGCTAATTATTATTTTTTAATGTTTCCAAATAAGCTGTGCTAATTCCATCCCATAGCATGAGATTATTTTTATGTTATTTCTGGTATATTTCAAAAGATAAAGATAGTTTTATACTGTACTGTTTCTAGTGACAAATAGGATTCACTGGGGGAAAGAAAAAGAAAGAAAAGAAAGGAAAAGAAAAAAAGTGTTTAGAAGAACCATTTAGCTGACATTATATGGAATCAATATTTTTTTGAGAGCAGAGCCTAGACAATTAAACTATTTGTATATGTTTTGCATTTCTTTGTGAAAAAACAGAAAAGATAAGAAAAATCCACAGAATATATAAGGTAAAAAAATACCCTTTTTTTTAAATTCAAGGGGATGAAGTTCTAGAATGGAATGGTAAACCCCTGCCGGGAGCTACAAATGAAGAAGTTTACAACATTATTTTAGAATCAAAATCAGAACCTCAAGTTGAAATTATTGTTTCAAGGCCTATTGGGTAAGGCTAAAAAAACTTACTTTTTAAGTTTAGTGAATTACATGTATTAGCAGGGTTTTAAAAAGAAGTTTATACATTCATACAGTACATGTTAACATGAATAGTTTTTTCTTCAATGATGGGCATACATTTTAGATTTTTTTAAATTTCTTAATTTTTTAAACTGGAATATTGAATTTTCCTCACTATATTTTAGAAGCTTCACAATTGAACAACTGTAATATCAAAAAGTATTGACATGCATTTTTTTTTAGAAATAAAATATAGAGTAAAAATATTTTCTTTTAATGGTAGAGCTATTTATTTTTAGTAATTCTCACTCACTGAGTAATATTTCCTTAAAGGGAGTTACTAAAAACTCATCTTCTTGTGATATTCAAAATAGTAGTGATTTTATATGTCTTCATGAACTTTTTATTATCCTAAGGATAGACTCTTTTTTTCTATATTTTTATCCAAGGATAGTTCCAACTTTTATTTAAAAACCAAGTAAGTGTGAAATATTTTAACATTATAATTTGTCATAATAATTAATATGATATTTTTAAAACTACAATTTTCAGCATAATTTAATTATCTATAACTAATAGGATATTTTCCATATCTTTGTATAGAATTCCCCGTAGTGCTACCTTTTCCTGGCAAACATACAAAGTCCAGAACATTCATTTTGCCAGTTTATAATTTTTTGGAAGGCATGCTTAATTGTCTTATTATAATTGGCTTAATGTTTGAATCCCTATACTTTTGGAAATAATTTACTTTTCCCCCCTATTTTCTAAAATATTATAAAGCCAATAACTAAAGATATTTTATGTTGAACAAATGCTAACCTTAAAATTTTATTGTCCTCTTGAATATGTCAATGCAAAACATACAAGAAAATATAATTATTATAATTCTCAAAGACTGAAAATGTATGAACATATATTCCAAAGAATTGTATATTTATAATTTATAAAATAAAGGCAAGCTTATAACCAGTTTTAAGTGATTATTAAGAATAAACATTTGCAAAAGTATTTTACATTTCCATGCAGATTTTTTAAAAATAGCAACACTATAAATTATGCTAGTTTTACATAATATGTGTTCTAGTGCTGAGGTAAATATGAGGCTGGAGAAGAGGTAAGTAATTGGAAAATGAATCAAACGTATAAAAAAATAACAATTAAAATCAAGCATGTGCATATTGCCAAATACTTTCAGATACATAGTGGTTTCAAGTAATCAGCTAAAGTATTAATGATTATTGCTGACTAAAAAACTAACAGACAATTAAAGTGGACTGGAATAACATTTTCATTATTTTTACTGTTGTATTAAAATAATTTAAAAAGTAATAATCTACATAGCCAAACCCTAACTGTCATAGATTATGGAATTTATAAGAATATGGAATACAAAAATTAAATGAAAATTAAATCTGGTATCAATTTTCCAGTTAAAGGAGAAATTTTTAGATTCTTGGAAGAATAATTCTAGCTATACTTAATAACTATGTTTAACATAGTTCTATAATTAATTTAAAGCAGAAAGCAAACATTTTACTCATAGTTTTGTGGCATAGTGATTTCAAGAATTATTGCAAGTATAACTTACAGGTACACTGGTTAGCACGGTCTAGCCACTATGGAAAACAGTATGGAGGTTCCTCAGAAAATTAAAAATAGAGTTACCATATGTCCCAGCAGTTCCACTTCTGAGTATTTATCTGAAGAAATCTAAAACACTAAATTGAAGAGATATATGCACCGTTAACTGCAGCATTATTTATAATAGCCAAAATATGAAAGCAAACTAGATGTCCTTCCATAGAAGAAGAGAGAAAGATGATGGGTACAGATATACAATGGAATTTTATTCATCCATAAAAAAAGAATGAAATCTTACCATTTGTAACAACAGGGATGGACCTAGAAGGTAGTATGCTAAGTGAAATAATTCAGACAGAGAAAGACAAATACTATATGATTTCACTTATATGTGGAATCTAAAGAACAAAATAAATGGACAAACAAAACAAACTGATAAAGAAAACAAATTGATGGTTGTTTGGTGGGACAGAGATTAGGGGAATGGATGAAAAAAGTGAAAGGGATTATTAAATATAAATTGCCAGATAGAAGAATAGTCATGGGAATACAAAGTAGGGAATATAATAAATAATATTGTGATAACTAAGTACGGTGTCAGATGGGTACTGACCTACCAGGATGATCACTTCATAAAATATATAAATGTCTATTCACTATGGTGTATAGCTGAAACTAATATAATATAGTATGTGAAGTGTAATTGAAAATGAATTTTTTAAAAAGAGGGATGTAAAATATCAATTTAAAAAAGAAAACAAAAACCCAAGGTCTAAGAGACCTTAGTCATCTTGATGTATTGACCATTTTTGGCAATCTACCAAATACTATATTCTTAACCTTTATGGTTAAAATTCTGGTCCGGCTGATGTGGCTCAGTGGTTGAGCGTCAACCCATGCACCAAGAGGTTACCAGTTCGATTCCCGGTCAGGACACATGCCCAGGTTGTGGGCCCAATCCCCGTTGAGGGGCATGCAAGAGGCAGCCAATCGATGTCCTCTCTCATCAGTGTTTCTGTCTCTCTCTCCCTCTTTCTTCCTCTCTCTCTAAAATCAATAAAAGAAAAAAAAATTAGAACTATTCTGCTACCTCACTTGTGTGTAAAATTATTTAAGAAGGTTTGTGTATTTGTCAAGTAGGAATTTATGCCTGAAAATATTACTGAAGCAATTGACATGAAATAAATTTTTATTGGAAATCACTTAAAAAATTTTTATAACTTTTTCACAATTCTTTCACTAACACGTAAAATCCAAAGCTTGTACCTGGCTTTAGAGTTTCATATTCTAACTTTAATAAGTGACTTTGATGTTGATTTTCAAAGAAGTTATACTATCTAAAAAAATGTTTCTGGATTTTTAAAAATTTACTTTTATTTCCCTAATTAAATTTAGAAGAAAGTAGAAAATTAATAGTTGGTTCCTTGCCTCTAGGTATTGCAAATTAGTCTCTTAATTATCATATAAAATGTTTATTTTATATACATTATTTGCTATATAAAAATATAAAATAACATGTATTTATAAAATAGATGATACAGAGCATAGTGCCAATTGCAAGAAGTATAAATTGTAGGTGGTTATGAGAATTAGTTTGCATAAACAATGTGAAAATGAGAGACAGGAAAATAATTAAACGGAGAAAACTTTTTGTTTCTATCCCACCTTCCTCCCTGAAAGTGCAAAGAAAAATCAAATTGTAGTTAGATGACAAGGTAAGTGGTTAGAAATTCTTAAATAATATTTTAGTAATTCTGTTGACACTAGCTTACTCCAGTCTGCTTTAATATGTCATGTTAATACTTGCATATTGTTAATCAAGTCCTTATATTGATACTACGTATCTTTGGAGAATACCAGAGGTAAAGTAATTCTGTGCAGCACAATGTCCAAACCAAACTGGCCCAGGGCTCCTAAGGTCACAGTGGATAATGGATTAAGCTGAGGTTATATTAAATATTTACTCAGACTTTGGGAGTGTGACAGGAATGGGTATTCTCACAAGTCACTTTCTAATCATATCTTAATGACCATCTATTTAGCTAACTTCAGTATAGAGATATGAATCTCTATATAGGGTTATATATGTGTATATGAATTTATATATTCACATATATAAAGTATTTTGGCTTTTTTGTTGCAAGCTTGTATCATTTTTTAATTTTCAGTGCAATTCATCCTTTTCATTTTATTAACTTTGCCCATGATATTCACCATATTATTTTAGTATCAAGAGATGTTTTCATCCCTTTCATTCAGTAAACTCTTTCAGATGTGTTTGTAAAGCATTTAACTGATTTGTAAAACGTGTCATTTTAATTTTCTAAAATTGAAGTAAAATATTACCTTTAACATTTTTTATTTCCAAAACCTGCTGTTTTGGTAGTAAAAATATTGTGGTAATTTTAGCCACAATATTAGTCTGATTGTTGTCATGTTAAAAGTGTTTTGCTATTAAATATATAAAAACTTATTTTTACTGCAGTTTTTATTTTTGTGTGGTGTTTGACATTCATACACATTAGTAATTGCCTTAATAGTAACTCCTGTCCATTTCCACACCTGTAAAGACCCAAAAGGAGTTTTCACACCCCTGAAGTAGGATTGGCTGTGACCCCAGGCAGGGCAGTTCAGCTAACGGGATTTTCACCCTGCACTGTTTCTTCTAGTGACATTCCACGGATTCCAGAGAGCTCCCATCCTCCCCTGGAGTCCAGTGAGTATAAGAAAGATTTCCTTGTTATTATGAGATGTGTTGAATGAAATTGAGGAATAAAGATTTACTATTTTCTTTAGTTACTTGATGTAAATGAATTAGTATTGCTATACTAAGGTTATCTTCAATGATATCAGAAGTTGGCAACCATGACACTCATTGGAAATCCAAAGATGTTCTACCTTAAGATGTTTCTTTTTCGTGTGTGTGTGTGTGTGTGTGTGTATGTGTGTGTGCACGCCATGCGCGCGTGTCTATATGAAAATCTCTACTGGCAATACTCTTCTGAATCATAAAAGTCAGGACCCTCACAGAGCTCAGTTATTATACCAGTAATAGTTTTCTTTTCTGTACATAAAAATGTATTGTGATACTGGGTTATTCGGTTTGAATGGTAATTAGCTCAGTCTCATGAGCCGCCTCGTGAAGGAAACAGGCACATCAACAAATACTTTTACTACACCACAACCGTGTTGAGTATGAGCATGGAAGTGAGTGGGTGGAGTAGAGGTCAAGTTCAATGGACAGTGAGTCTAGAGGGTTGAATCTACATAGGCATTAAAGACACATTAGATGAGAGAAGATGACAATGTATGCATAAAGTATGACAAGTAATGAAGTTTTCAATGTGAATATGGAAGCGACCCAAATATTTACTGTGAATTGGCATTTAATTAATAAAATGTGGCCATGATCACCAAGTGTTATTGTGTAACCCAGCTTATAGAAATATAAAATACATGGTGATTTATGGGGAAAAACAAGTGGTGGTGGTTAAGAAGAGGTAGAAAATATATGGGTGGGATAAACAAGGTTAGTATACCATCATGTTGTGCATACCTGCTAGAGATGAGTCTAGGTTTGGTTTTGAGCTTTCTGATAACCAGTATACAGATAGAAATGGAACCAATGTGTAACTTATGGTGTTGATACTATTTAAGAATTAACTTCTGGAAAATTAAAACAAACTGATTATTGGAAGCAACAGTGTTCTTGTACTGAGGCCCAGGAAAAAAAAATTATCCTAAGGAAACTTGATAAAAGAGACATAGTAACAAATAATTTTATAGCATTGTTTCTTATAGTTAATTGGAGAGCACAGAATGATGCTATGTGGCTTATTTTAAATTTTATTTACACATATAGAAAAATATTGCATGGATAGTATATCCTCAGGCAATGCTCTGTAAATAGTGTTTTACAAATAAAGCTAAGGTTTGAATGTGGGTTTAAGGTTATACTTACTGGACTAACAGCATTATATAGACATTCTCTACTGCTGGTTGTGTCAGGTTACATTTGAACAGTGATTAGGAAAGAGAGAATTTTCATTTGAAAAAGGGGAGGAAGGGCCTCACTGAAGGGCTGAGTGGAGAGCCAGCCTCCTCACATGAAGGTCCTTGTGGTGAATCATTGAGACCGTATTCTCAGACTTTCAAGAAGTTAACTTGTAAGAACTAAACTGAGATAGATGGTAAATCTTATTTTAAAGGTGGTGAATTTCAGGCTTAGATGTACTCATAAATTATATTATATATGCATTCATTTTGATTTGATTAAGGATAGCTCAAAACAGATAATCCTTTAGTCAGGATAATTGACATGATGGGTACCATCTTTCTTATAAAAGAGTGAAGCCTTTTACCTATATGTGAAGTTATGCAAGAGCCTAAACTGTATAATACCCTCCCAAAATGTAGAAAATCAATACTCACATATTGAAGCAAATAATTAAAATACTTTATTATATCATTTTAATTACCTTTAAAATAGGCAGTTAATAAAAAAAAAATGTACATGATAACTTTCTACAACTATCCAATTCAAAATAGGCTCTGTTATTGTTGGTATTCAGTTATGATCTCATACAAATAACATACATTTAACATTTTATAAAAAATAGTTAGTTCCCACACATATATGTCACAAATGTGTTACTGAGAATTATTTAACCTCCCCCCCCCCCCCCATTTTAGGTTCCAGTTCTTTTGAATCTCAGAAGATGGAAAGGCCTTCCATTTCTGTTATTTCTCCAACAAGTCCTGGAGCTCTAAAGGATGCCCCACAAGTCTTACCAGGACAACTTTCTGTATGTATTTTGCTGTACACAGTGAAGACCATTAGTATTTGCTCACCGTTCTGAGTCTGTCTTAAAAAATGTATGGCTTTTATTTAACACCATAGTCTACGTCAATTTTCATACATTTTTTAATTGCTCCCTTGTTTATATATTCCTTTGGAGATATATATTGGGTGCTTATAATGTGCCAGAACATTAAATCATAAATAACATAATTAAATAAAATATCCATTTTATTTTGTCTGTTATATAAAAGTTTCTGAGGTAAGTAGTTGGTTAGACATAATCAACCTAGAAAGTTATGTTTCATTTACTTAACAACCTTATGAGTCTGGAGACTGAGATGTTTAAATTTAAAATATTCTTTTTAACTCCTTAAGATATTTGGTGTAGCTCTTTATGTTAATGTCACCCTGAAAAAGCTAAGTTTTCCTCATTTTTGCCTTACCTATGACCTGGGAAAAGCTGGATGTAGACACGATGGCTAACTTATGAAAACTCACATCTTTGTAGATTATGGTGGAATACTAGACATTTGTATAAATAACTAAAAGAAAATCTTGCTTTAAGTTATTCTGTAAATATTAGTTATCTTTTGCTTGGTTAGTAAAATATGGATTTCTATAGTCTGTTTTTGTTGCTCCCTTGGCTTTAATTAAAAAAGATAACTGTAAGCTTGCTGTTATTTAGAAAACCTTCCTTGGTTTTAACATATTTTTAGTATATCGAATATCTTCATAGAGTCTGTTGTGTTCATTTTTGCTGCCCTGTCATCTTTTTATTTTCACTGTGTGTGTGAATCTCTCATATACTCCACCTATATTTTAAGAGGGATAAAAATCCATTTTGGTTTTATGAAAAACACATCTGTGTGATTAACTGGGAACAGAGATAGATTCATGCATATGCATGTTTGAATTTTTAATCAGCCCCTAACTGTGAAAAAACAATCCTGTGGTAAATTAGCTTATCTGCTTACAATGACTGTTAAATATGTTCCAGTATATACCCATTAAACAACTAGGCTCTTATTTAACCGTAAAACCAAAACTGACTTCTAAATTTTTAAAACAAAATTAAAGTTATTGTCCACTGCCAACACAAATATGTATTGGCAAAGTTCTGGTTCTTGGGAATCTAAAAATAGACTCAGTGTGTCATTTTCCCATTTTTTCTTTATTCAAACTATCATGAAATCTTCCGAGAGATATCATTATTGGGCCTTCACTTAGTTTGAAAACATCATTCATGTATTATATATCCCTCATGAAAATTAACCTATTTTATAATAATAAAATTAATAATAAAAATTATATGAGAAGAAAAAACACATAGAAAAGAGCAATACCTGTTATAAAATAGACCCACAGTAAATGTGTTTCCTGATCTCCTCCAACTCACTTGTATATATTGTTCCTAATATCAAATCTCATTTTCTTTCATCTACATGTGGTACTGCAAAATGCATTCAGCCACACTATAATCATGAAGTGCTTATATTCATCAAACACTTGCATTTAGCTTTTAAAAACAAGGGTAGCCCTTGTGGGGTGGCTCATTTGGTTGGGGCGTCATCCCATACACCAAAGGGTTTTTGGTCTGATTCCCAGTCAGGGCACATCCCTAGGTTGCTGTTCGATCCTGTACTGGGTGTGTATGGGAGGCAACCGATCGATGTGTCTCTCTCACATAGATGTTTCTCTCTCTCTCCCCCTCCTCTGTGTCTAAGAAAAAAAATCAATTGAAAAACAAAACAAAACATCTTGGGTGAAGATGTAAAAAAACCCTCAAGCCCTGGCCAGTTTGGCTCAGTGGTTAGAGCATCGGCCTGCAGCCCAGAAAGTCCTGGGTTCAGTTCCCGCTCAGTGCACGTACCTCAGTTGCAGTTTGCCCCCGGCCTCGTTTGATGTTGTGTGGGTGGCATCCACTCGATGTGTCTCTCTCACATCGATGTTTCTCTCTCTCTTCCTTCCCCCCTTTCTCCCTCTCTGTCTGAAGAAGAAGAAGAAAAAAAAAAACCCTCAAAAACAGCAAGGATAATTACTTTAATGTCCCCTACTCCCCTTTGTTTTTTATAAAATTTTTATCATTAGTTTTATTTTCATAGCTTGAGATGGTATAAGAGAATATAATACTGCAGGTTTACCAATTGTAAGTCATGTTTAAAATGGATGAAAAGTCAAGTTCTAAGTGGTTATGCTTTCAAATTGGTATTCTTTTTCAAAAATAGTATCTATAATTCAGTTGCGTTTCAATTTAAAAGGTTTTCGTTCAAAAATAATTTTAGCATTTTTATGTAAACTTATACGTCATGATTTTTATAAATAATTTCTTTCTTCCTTGCTCCTAGGTGAAACTGTGGTACGATAAGGTGGGACACCAGCTGATTGTAAATGTTCTGCAAGCAACAGATCTACCTTCCAGAGCAGACGGGCGTCCCAGGAATCCCTATGTAAAAATGTATTTTCTTCCAGATAGAAGGTAGTGAATAATTTTTTTTAAATATGCAAAAAGCCTTTATTAACAGAATAGGTAGAATTTCCTTTCTGGGATATAGTTTTACTTATTTTGTAAAGCTTTATGGAGGTAAAATTGTTATACTAGAAATTACACATATTTAATGTGTACATTTGGATGAGTGTGGACATACACATACACCTGTGATATAGTTTGAAAATTTAATAGATACTTATCTGAGGGAATAAACTACATTATCCCTGAAAAACAAAACCCTCCAACCTTGTATTTAAAAAAAAATAAACTGCCAAATTTTATAACTTCCATTACCTTAATTATATACCTATTAGTCTTTGATGGCTACACAACATTTAGAATGTACCTTTGTATATGTATACCTATAATCACAACTACTGCTTACACTGTAGTGAAAACTAGAACACAATTCAACTCTACAGTCTTTTTAGACTTTTATATTAAAAGATAGGAATAAAAATAGTAAGAATCCCAATAGCACTATCACATGTAACTACAGTAGGTGGCAGCATATACTTGTTTTTGCTCTTTCATTTACAAAACATAACTTATTTTTCAGTGATAAAAGTAAAAGGAGAACCAAAACAGTAAAGAAAGTACTAGAACCAAAATGGAATCAAACTTTTGTCTATTCACATGTACATCGTAGAGATTTTAGAGAACGAATGTTAGAAATAACTGTGTGGGATCAACCAAGAGTGCAAGAAGAAGAGAGTGAATTTCTCGGAGAGGTGATGTATATTGTAATAATTCAAGTCAAATGCTTATTCAAGTTTTTGTGACTTTGTGTTACTTAGGATTGTCTTTTTTATTATGTTTTGGGAAATGTGCTTGGATTAATTTGAGAACTGCGCTTTCAGATCCTCATAGAATTGGAGACAGCACTTTTAGATGATGAACCACATTGGTATAAACTTCAGACACATGATGAATCTTCACTACCTCTGCCTCAGCCATCACCTTTCATGCCCAGGCGACACGTCCACGGAGAAAGCTCCAGCAAAAAACTGCAAAGTAGGTTAAAGGTCTCTTTAGTGACCAGAATTAATGATGTTGTAATGAGATTAACTTCCAAGATATTTTTTGAATGTTTGTTAGAGATCAGAATATTGGAAAATTATTCACCTACATAAAGAGACCTGGCAAAACTATTTTCTACATTTTCCCAATGAAAGTAGTATATTTAGCATAGTAGAGTAATTCCAGACCTGAAAGTTGAAAAACTCTGAATTATAATTCTTTGCCCAATACTGATTCAGTTGTTGATTAGTTAACTGATAGGGTAATTTTTTGTCATCATTGATGAACTGCTACATATAAGTGGAAACCTCTTAATAACTTTATATTTCCTGGGTATTTTTAGTATTACTATTCACAAAACAACTTAAAAGCATATAAACGGTGCTTGTTGTTATTCATCTAGTGATTGTAAAAACTGGTTTTTCTGTACATACCCATTAAATTTTGAGTTATGACTAAATCTCTAATTTAATAATTGAAACTTAGAAGCTTCACTTTGGTAATGTAGAACGAAATTGTTTGCCTCATATAATTAAATATTTCATGTTAATGCTTCTGTGATCAAGCATTTCCTCAATATTAATGTTTAATGCAGTATAATGGCTAATTTTGAAGGCTAAATATACATATTTTATAAAGGACCCTGATGTCTTCTCAATAATATGAGCTCAATTGAGCTCCAGCCACAGAAGGTCTCTTTGAACCTTCCACTCAGCCCCGTCCTCCCCAAACTGCAGAGGAGGGCACTTCACTGGGCAGAAAACACTCTGCGGTAGGCTTTTAGCACAATGCTTGACTTAAACAATAATGTGAAAGTCAAAATCTTACTCTATGAAGTCTTCTTCCTTGTGTATGTCTTCAGTGATTTTATGGAGGAAATACCTAGGAAATGGTATCCTTGGAGAACAAACATTACTTTAAAGATCTGCTCATCCTTTACTCTGTGTGATTCTTTTTCAAAAGTATTTAGTCGTGATGTGATTAGCTGGATTTTTACCTAAGCTGTTTAAATAACTGCGACCGTGTCATTTACATCTCATAAACCAACAAGGTAAAGAGGTCCCTGTTTGCCTTACTGTTGTGCAGGATCTCAGCGAATCAGTGACAGTGACATCTCAGATTATGAGGTTGATGATGGTATTGGAGTAGTTCCTCCAGGTGCGTGGCTGACGAGCATGGCCCTGCTTCACTGTGTTTCTGCGCTTGTTTTCACTGTCCATTTCCAGACTTCTTTGGGGACTGCAGATACAGCACAGATAAATCAGTATTATATTATTCCATGGTAACTTGTGTTCTGAATTACTACAGAAGTGTAAAATTGACTAGCCACTAATTAATACCCCCACTTATTGAATTTAGGTTCTTAGAAACATGGCTAGCTAGGTTAAAATCATTATTTCAGAGTGTTGCAAACATAAGTAAAAATATGAATTTCATTGTGAAAAGATATGTTTAATTTTCTTGATAAAAATTCCATTCTCTTATAACTTACATTGTATATTTGTGACTTTCCTTCCCCTGTTTCTGAAAATAATGTCGCCTTCCATGGAATATACTGAGAAAGGTGCATGGCAGGGCCTAACCTGCATGTGGCATGCTGCACTTCTGATGCTTCTGTGACGTGTTTACCACTGATTATAACCACAATGTGTGTGTATGTTTTTAAAATAAGGAAATGCTTTAGAAAGATTCAAGATTCATTTTAAGTCAACATCTTTCTGTCGTGTAAGTCAGTATACATTTTTGTGGCATTGTGGAGTTCAGATCTGTTTTTCATCTGACTTTTTTGTCAGAAAGTGACTAAAACCAAGTATTAAAGGCTCATTTTCTAGGCACTAATCTTATACTGTTTCCTTGATTCACTAATAAAAGGTAAGGAGATATCAAAAGAAGAAGAAATTAAAGAGAAAATCTTGGGACATATAAATAAGAGTTATTAAAGGCATTCCTTTAGGACAAGGTTGACATATGTCTCCTTAATTTATTTCTCAAATATAAATGCACTTAATTCGAGGGCAATGGTTTAGGCAAAGCTAATGGACTCTAGTGACTAAATTGACAATTTGGAGAGATAGCATACAACTTCATTGAATAAGGAATTAGATTTTACTTCCATAATTCAGAGAGATTATAGTGTTTAATCACTGTATTAAGGTAAAAGTATTTCTAAGAACAATAAAGCTGGTGGTGGGCATATCTTAGATATTACTCTTGGATATCAGACCATTGGTGAGAGTTCTAAATGATTTTGGGTAATAGTGGATGACATTTAATAATTCTTTTTCTTTGTGTTTATTTCTAAAAAGATCATAATAGTTAGGCACAGTTTCCATGGAAACTTTAACACAATGTTTGTAACAAACTATTTTTTTATAAAATTAAAAAAGTGATTGTTTATCAAATCCATTGGCATATTTAAATAGGAATCAGATGATTCCCTGTAGGAAGTCACAAACCTTTCTAACAAGAATCTTGACTGTTAATAAGCCTTAATGTTGTAACCAATTCATCTAAATAGAATTTACTTCTGTGGGTGGTTCTCACTTTTATTCACCTAAAATTTTATATATTTTATGCTGAGACCGGATTGTGAATGAATGAATTAATAAATGGCCATTTCAGTAAATACTAAAATGGTGAGTTTCTTCTTTTTTCCCTGAAAGATTCCATGGACAGCAGCCAAAGTGGGAGTTATGGGACCATTAGAGGTGGAATTAGTGCTTGGACACCACCAAAGTGCACTGAATTTTAAATATATTTATATTCCATACTGAAATATGCCATGCCATGGTGTTTGCAAGCTATATAACTTTTTTTTGTCATACAGAAACAGTGTCTAAATTATTATTTCAAATATTTTATTTAGCATTTAAAATGCAGCGAGGCAAACTTTTAATAGACTATAACTAATAAATAGACATAAATAGTAATTAATATTTTATGCCCCAGAGGTCTCTTTATAAATTAATAAAGGAGATAATACAATTTATTTATATTTTCAGGTATACTCTTGTTTTTTGTTTTTTTTAAATCCTCTCCCAAACATATTTTTCTATTTGTCTTCAGATAGAGTGGGAGGGAGAAAGAGAGAAAGAGAAACATTGATGTCAGAGAGACTCATCAGTTGGTTGCCTCCTGCACAACCCCGGCCAGGGCTCGGGACTGAACCGCAACCGAGGTACGTGCCCTTGACCAGAATCAAACCCTCAACGCTTAGGTCCTCAAGCTGATACTCTAACTGCTGAGTCAGCATATTAGGTATTCTCTTTATTGATCCAAAATGAGTACATGGTACCTTCTAAATATATATATAGTTCTCTCTCACCTTTTTCCGAAGGTAGAGTGCATGTTGTCAACAATAAATTAAACATGATATGAAGAAAACCAAATTTTACATATATATATATATATTGATATCGATATAGATAAGCAAATATAATATAGCAGCCACTCAATGTTATATATACATTTTAAATAAAGAGGAAAGATGAGCATTGCTAAAATAAGGGCAAGAAGCTAAAATAAAGTCAAGGGAGAAGTTAATAAACAAGTGTGTTCACACATTCTCATATACTCTTAGAGGTTGATTACAAATACATTTCCTAGCATCCAGTATAAGAGAAATCTGTTTAGATGTAGATACCAATTCTACATGATTTTTAAAAATGCACTCAGGGAAGTTTCTGGTTGTTTGTGTTCTACAGAAGTACCCAGGCTTCATTTAAATGTTCTCTTGCAGCTGTTCCTTGAAGTGTCTGCTACCTTGGCTTTTCTTAGAACCAGAGTTCAGTGCTGTTTGATAACTTTGCTACCTTTCTCCACTGAGGACATCTGAAGTTCTGAAAGCAGTTGAGACCCACACAACTGTATCTTATCAACTTTATAGCTATCATAGCCTTATTGTTATTTAACATAAGTAATTTTAGCTGCTTAAGAAACGTAAAGATAACCATATACGTAGTGCCCTACTCCGAGGTAAGACATCTGGCGACCTCAACTTTTCGGAGCACTATGTAAATTCAGAAAATGGAAAAAAACCTTCTAACTTCTAACTTGTGCCAGATGAAACATTGAAATATGCATAAAATAGCCGTTCTTTCCGGTCTTTTTCTGAAGGTAGAGTACACGTTGTCAACAATAAATTAAATATAAAGAAAGCTGAATTATTTTATAAAAAGCAGACAAAGAACTATGCATACATATTAGGGTAGGATAAAAAAAAAAAGACATTAATGTCTGTATAAATACAAAGAACCCAAGACAAATTTTAATTATATCCTTTTAACAACAGCAAGACATCTAAATTCTATGAGTTATTTCATAACCATTATATCAAATTGGAAAGTTCTATTTATATAACTTGAATATTTATTGAAGTTTCGAAATGGTGCTCCCAACTTCCATAATTACTGTAGAATTAATACCAAATGTCATCAAAAGATACCAGATGTTTATTTAAAATACTGAAGTAATTTAGACCTTGAATTAATTTTTTTTAAACAGCCATTTTTTTTTACAATAAGCTGCAAAATAAATGTGTTAGCTGTAAATTTAGTTGGTCTCTTTTCTAAACTTAATACTATAATGTATACATCTGAGCAACAACAAAGAAACTTTCATGCATGAAGCTAAAAATAATAGCTTAATTGCTGTTATTTTATTATAAAGTGAAAATATATGAAATTATAACATTTATGGTTATATTATTTGACCGTTATCTGATACTTTTAGAGAGTGACAAAATGATTGAGCTTCTTGGTCTCAATATTGTCAAATTACACTTCATGAAATGTTTAAAGACCTTGTTTCTCAGTTAAGCGTAGTCAAAAGAACTTATTTGTGTATATGTACAACCAATGGATACAGACATTAGGTTTTGGGAAAAGCAGGAGGGGAGTGAGTGCAGGTGGGGAGTGGTCAATGGGGAAGAAAGGAGGACATCTGTAATACTTTCAGCAATAATAAAAAAAAAATAGATCATACAATCAAAAAAATAAACTATTGAAGAATTTTAGTCTATTTTTAATAATGATGTTTCATGGCATATTTTTTTAAAAATGTGGGAGTTATCAATAAATAAATGAGCAACAGTTCAGGCTGCCCAATTAAATTACAAGTTTTCATGGCTCATGAATATTTTATGTAGTTGTTAATATAATTATAATTATTTTAGCCAGAAAATTTTTTTTACTCTAATTTAAATAGGAAACCAAGATGCTGTTAAAAAAAAAAAATTAAACTGTTACTATTGATTTTAGATTAGTTTTATCTTAAAATTAGAAAAAACATGAAGAGCTTAAGACTTCTAGAATTTATTTTTAATTGAAATTATGTTAACTGGATTATATTACTGCTAACACATTAGTGTGATAGTTTGAGAAGTCTGGGGAAGATTTGATGAATGTTTCTTTGGGAGAGTTAATTTCTCTCTGCAATATAGTCATCTCCACCAATACACTATTTTCATTTTAAATTTGCAGTGCTATCTGTGGTTTGCAAAATCCACAATCAGTATTTGTAATAGTAAAGATCTGCTACTCTTCTTTGTTAATTAAAATCAGGATGATATTATTTTCATTCTCTTGTTAGCAAAGCCATCTGAAATTCAACCAAAGTAATTTATCCTTTGGAAGAAAAATTCAAAGGACATTTAAAGAGACACCAAATTTCTAAGCATTGACTTGTATATTAACTATAGTTCACTGTCAAGTGCTTGATTTATGTTGCTGTAAAATCACTAACTCATTCATTTTTTAAATTAAAATAGTATCCCACCTCATTATCACGTCTGAGGCATCAACTGTCATTTATATTCAGTATCCTTATGGTACCTTTAAGCCAAACCGTAACCTGTTCTTATGCATGTATATGTTACACTCTGTGTACGTACACTTAATCTTTTAGAATATAAAGCTAATGATACTGATTGCATGTCATTTATCTTAAGAGGTCTGTAGCTGCTTTAAATATAATTTACTATCTCCACATTAACGTTTACGTTATAGAATACTGACTAATTTTTTTGTGTGTACTCTTGCCAGTAGGTTATAGGTCTAGTGCTAGAGAAAGTAAATCTACAACATTAACTGTGCCGGAGCAGCAAAGAACAACGCATCACCGCTCACGCTCAGTGTCTCCTCACCGCGGCGATGATCAGGGAAGGCCGCGTTCACGTTTACCAAATGTGCCATTACAGAGGTAGGCTGCCATATGAGCTCAGTGTTCCTGACAGTACCTTTTTCTTATAACACTGTAAACCGCTATAGGTTTCTATCTGAAATGAAATCAGGGCTTGGTCAATCAAGTTATTTTTTTCAGAGTCATTTGTAGGCAAAATGCCCTTGTATTCATTACCCAACATTCTGATCTTTAATCTCAACATTCTGTTCTATGCAATATTCTGTTAATGAATCTCAAGAATTTTCCCAAGGAGTGGAAAGAAGGTTATGTCCCAAGCACTGTTTTTGAATAACTGTCTTGGATTCTTTTTGCTTGTTTTCTCTCCTGTTATGAGAAAGTGAATCAGACCTGTGGAAAGAAATGACAAAGAGAATGCGATTAAGTGGCGGAATGTTTTTTTGTTTTGTTTTGTTTTTTTTTTTAGAAATTTAGGCTTGTCCCTTTGAAGCACTTTAAGTGCTTGGAAAAGTGTATAAAATATAAGTGATGCAGTGCTCTATTTCCTCTGACCCTGACTGAAGTTTTAATCAGATTAGCAGATCCAAATTGCGGTCCTTTTTAGATACAGAAGCAAAAGAAGGTTGGAAAAAGGCAGGCAGGCAGAGCATTCATAGAAAAGAAATACCTTTAAGTCATTGATAAAATAGTTATTTGGTTATGATGCCAACACTTTTCTAGCTATGTCATTTGTTTGCTGAATACTGTCCATTCTTCCCTGTTAGTCTGCCTGCCTGATTTGGGAAGATGGTCCATGTTGATGCTTATGGATTTTTGTAATTATTCTAGGAGTTTAGATGAAATTCATCCAACAAGAAGGTCACGTTCTCCAACCAGACACCATGATGCCTCTAGAAGTCCAGTTGATCACAGATCCAGAGATGTGGATAGTCAGTATTTATCTGAACAAGACAGGTATTTGTTTAAATTATGATCTCAACATTATACATTTTTGCTCAGTTTTAATGTATTATAGATACCTTGGCATAGTACATTAGAGAGTGAAAGTTATTCATTACTCAAAACTGAACTTCTCTCATGGAACAACTTGGCTAATATTATATTGTCATAATATAGGAAATTTAAAAAAAATCAAAATGCATGTTTAACTGGTTTCAAATGTACAAATTATTGTTGATTTAGCCATAGAAGTAAGCCCACATAAGCAATTTTCAAATATTTTATGTCTTGTCGACTGTAGTCTTTGGGTTGCTATTTATATAATTATAAAATTCTGTATTTTATGTTATTAAAATTTTTGGATACAGGTCATCTGAAAGATAGCATTGCAGCGTTTCTGTGAGAACATCAATAAGAATACTTTTATATGCCTACTTTTTATAAAATGTATTTCCATAAAATGTCTATAGAGTACAAAATATTGAGATGGATTCTTGTCTCATGAAATAATACCTCCTGGACACAATTACTAAAAGTCTACATCGTGACTCTGTTGTTCTGCATGCCCACAGACTTTCTTTTCAGACTAACCACATACCTGCAATAACATGCCTGACCACAAGCTCATGATATGATTTAAGGTTTTATAATACCCACCTTATTGAATATACTCTTCTGCCTTTTTGAAGTGGAGAAACTTTCAGGGAGGGGCAGGGGAATGATAGCAGTGCTAAATGATTGTTTTTTTGCCATGTTGTCGAGGACACAGAACTCACGTGAGCTTCTTACCTCCCTAATTGTCATCTTACTGTGGGAAGTGGTGCCATGACCTTCAAAGAGAGAAGTGATATCGGGTACAGGAACAGGAAACTGCTTAGCTTGAGTTGAGTTGAGTTGAATGAGGGCATTTTTGTCCACATTCACTGGGGTCACCAGAGATTTAGGTGAGAAGGGAGAAAAAGGGCTTCTTGACCAGGACGTCAATAGAGTGGAATTAATTTGGATGTATACAAAGTGTCAATTTAAAAATAAAACAATCCTAATCAAGTATACTCTTGCTTTGCTAAGGAGAAACATAATATGTGATAATGTATTTTCAGTGAGTATGAAAGCAAAAAAAAAAAAAAAAAAAAAAACTTTCATGATTTAAGTTGCTTAAAGGAAATTAAAAAAAATTTAGGGTTCCATTAGTATGAGAAAGACCAGCTTTATAGGCCTTTTAAAAGTTATTAAAATAACTCAAGTGTCTAGAATTGGAAATAGATTTTTTATGTCTTATTTGGGGAAGGCTTGATTTTGTTTTATTTTGGTTTAATATTCTTTAAAATCACTTTGAAATACAATTGCAAATCAGCAGCAGCTAGGACTATGACCGTAATGTTTGTACTTTATTGTTTAAATTTTAAAAACACTGTCATGTTTTTGTTTAACTTCTCAAGCAAGTATGCTAGTGCAGACAATCTGGTTTCTTCCCTTTTCATGTTTTCATTGGCATACCATTGGCATACCCCATGTCATTTTATGCCTCATAATTTATCTGTTTCACTCACCACCCATCCTGTCTGTGCAGTGAGCTTCTTATGCTGCCCAGAGCAAAACGAGGACGAAGTGCAGAATGCCTACATACTACCAGGTAAATACAGGGATTTGGTAATGGTAACTGTGTGTGATGACTCTCTTTCCATTCTACTATTCTTCCGTCTCTCCCTCAGTGGTATGATCGCAAATACAGAAAATTATTTTCCCAAGTATTCAAAATTTGTTTTGTTTTATATGGAGGTTGTGGAAAAGCTTCCAAGTATGTTCTAATTCTGGCCTAGGCAGACCACTTTTCTATTTGTATACTCAAAAAATGCAAAGACTGGTGAGCCTCCGTGGCACTGTTTACACCTTCTTAAAACTCTGGAACCAGTTTTTGCAATTAAAACTCCAAGTGCTCACTGTGAGCAGCCCTAGCCCACCACACACACCTGTCTAGTCACAAGAGGTCTGATCTGCTGTGCAAGGCAGTGTTATTGTTTTCATGAGCATACGTTTTCTTTTTCTTTTTCTTTTAGCCTTTAAAATTTTCTTTTTAGAATCTACTGTTGTTTATATTTTGTTTGCCTTTAATAAATTTTTACCAGTTCATTGTTATTTTTTTTGTGTTAGTCATTTTTCTATTTTTGTGACATACATGCTCTTTGAGAAAAATTGATTCTGTTGTTTATTTATCCACTTTTAATTGCTGAGCTTCAACTTCCTTCATCATAAAGAGTGAGGGTATCTGACTTGCTAACTTCTAAACCTTCCCTTCCTTCATCACACCAGTTCAGAAATTTTGCAGTACAAACTTTTTTATAAGAGCATGGAATGATATGATGCCTCTTTAAAGGTGAGAAGGAAAAGGGATGTAATAGTCCCCTGGGAATTGTAGCTCAGAACCTGATACTTTATTTTCACCTCATTACATCTTGGATTTTACATCCAAAATAAATCCTTTTTCAGATTACTCATAGAATTCAGTCTGTAAATATTGATTGTCCATTTGGAGTTAATAGAAGATCAGGAAGTGAAATAACCAACACAGAAACAAATGCTTCTAAATATTTCGTCCAATAAAAAGTGAGTAGGAAATAGCTATAACTGGAATATCTGAAATTCAGGGACAAATGCAGAATTTATTGTGCCTACATAGTACAAGTGGTTCTGCTTAATAATGCAAACATGATCATGCTAATAAGAATTGTGTTAACTTTTTATATCTATAAAATAGTCCTATTGATAACTACTGCCATGTTTGCTTGTAGCACCACAGGAAAAAAATGGGGAAATACTAGTTCTGTTTGTAGAGTGGGGAAAAATATGTAAAATCATAAATATTGTAAAATAACTCATTCTTTATAATGCTCCAGGCTTAAGTTGTTCTTCCTGACCAATAGGTCAGTGAATATCATATTCACTTATGAATTTTCAGAATAACATTTGAGGATTTACTCTTTTCCAGTAAACAGGAAAATAACTTATATATATATTGAGTACCAAGCACAGTGTTAAGCATTTAATGTACTTTATATCAATTTCCTGACAGTAACTATATGATATTAATATTATTATTTGCATTTTACAAATAAGGAAAGATGATAAAGTTTAATTTGATAAGGAACAGAGCAAGGATTCAAAATTAGGTCTATTAGACATTTTCCATTTAACTAGTTTTTCTAAAAATATGTTCTGAGGAGTTGGTCCGGTGTGATGTTCCACCAATAAAAGTTTTTGAGTCAAACAGATTTTGGAAACATTGCAAATTAAAACCTCTTTCTGGAAATTTAATATGCACAGCACATTAAAATCATGTACTAAAGAAATCCCTCATATTTTTCTACACATTATTTAATTATCACACTTTCTTTTTATAAACTATGTCCTGAGAAAGTAGTGCTGTACAGAAAATACTGTGGCTGTCTGATCATGTCCTAGGTACCTTATACCTGTTATCTCATTGAATCCTCATAGCATCCTGTCGAGAAAAGGCTTAACCACTTGACCTGAATTACCTAGGTTAACAGACAATAAGTAGCAAAGCCATGGCGGGAACTTAGACCGTCATGCTATAAATCATACGCTAGATTCCATTCATTGTGCCATTCTGTGCTGATCCCTGTTACAGTGTTCCTGAAAAAAAAAATCGCTTTTGAATCAATTACTTAGACATGTTATATAGCAACCTGTTACCAAAGATAGCTTCCTAAGGTTAGGAGTTAAAGACTATTGTCTATAAAGTAGACAGAATCCTTAGATTCAGTAAAATTTATCACCAATTTACACTCGAATATTGTACTCTAACACATTTTTAAACTGAATCTTTAAGAGTTCTCCTTGGATTCGACCGTTAGTATAAACATGAGTACACCATTGGCGTGATTGATGTTTAGTATGTCCTCAGCAAGTGCTCCCTTCTCTATTTATCATATGCTAATGTAAGCCAAAATGGACTTTCACAGGGAGCAAGTTATTAAAACATTATTAAATTATCAAAAAATTAATCGATAAACTGGACTTAGTTTGTTCTTATGTAGCTCAGAATCCCTCATTGATTTTAAAGAAATTCAGATAAACTTTAGCCATTTTCTGCCACATCAGAATTCATATTCTGGTTTGCATCTAATACCTATCTCACCCAATTTTCAATGATAGATTATACCTATGATTGGATTTTAATCTAGAAGCTTGTAAATGAAAAAAACTTGCTTCATTAGAGTTACTTCTTGATCTTTTGCTATTTCCTTTCTTTAGCTAAATATCAGTGATCAATTATAAAGATCAAAGACCAATTGATCTTTAGGTAAAGAAAGGAAATAGCAGGCCCGGCTGGTGTGGCCCAGTGGTTGAGCATCAACCCATGCAACAAGAAGTCGTTGGTTCGATTCCTGGTCAGGGCACATGCCCAGGTCGTGGGCCCGATCCCCAGTGGAGCCATGTAGGAGGTAGCCAATCGATGTTTCTCTTTCTTTCTCCTTTCCTCTCTATGTAAAAAAATCAATAAAGAAAAAAAATTTACAAAATAGAAAGGAAATAGCAAAAGATGAAGTATGATCGATCTCATCCCTGTAATGCTGGTCATCTATTGACTTACTAGAATATTAATTCTTAGTCATATTTTAATTCCCAAATTATATAAATTATTTGGCTATACTTTGAGCTACAAGTTATTTACTTCTGTGGAAGCAGGTATAATATTAAATCAAGAATTATATAGTAAATTTAAATAATGGTAATTCATATAGTATTGTTAAATATTTTCCAAATTAAAGCAATTAAATTACAATTTTGAGTTATTATCTTAATTATAAAGACAGATGACTATGATCCCATATTTTAATAATTCTAATTCCACCTTCAAATAATTATTGTGTTTATTTTGAGAAACAACAACACCAAAAGATCCATCAATGTTTGTAGCTTATAAGCCTCCTACATTTTTCAGATGCTAGTAAAATTTGTTTTATATATATTTTTTCTGTTTCCTGCGTGTTTGTGTGGCCATGTTCCAGACATCTTGTTAGGCACTATAAAACATTACCGCCCAAGATGCCTTTGTTAGAGAACAGTTCTCACTGGAATATTTACAGGTAAGAGTCATAACAGTGAGTCCCAGTTACAAACTAATTCCTAATCCTTTGCCTATTAAAAATAGCAAATTTACATTATAATAAAGCGTTAGCATTTCCCTTGAAATTAATTATATACAGAGAAACATTAAATTAATAGTATCTAAAAATAGCTTTAATTATTAAACATGAATTCTAGAAGATTTCTGTAAATGAGCTCTTACTCAAATGTCAAATTCTAGTTATCTTCTTTGTCATTTATTTCTTGTTTTACCTGTTGATTTTAATTATGATCATTAATTTTATATTATTTTATTTGGGGGTGATTTTAATTTGCGAAGCTCACTTCTGCCTGCACATACTCAAACCAAATCAGTGACTAGACAGCACTTTTCCCTTCATCATGACTGCTTTAACTCAAAAACATTGAGATTTACTGATGAAATATTGCTTAGGTAAGAACATGTGGAAGTCTTCCCTTCCACTTCCCTTGTCTAGTGTTGTGAACCAAAATAGTTGAGTTATAAAATTTTTCTCCTTTGATGTCCTTCATTTTGTTTTGGTGTGGCATCTGTTCTTGGTAAAGAAGTTTTAGGCATTTTGTTTTAATGCTTTCAGTATCCAGTTTTTGTTTTTGTTTTTCATAAGCAGGTGTGATTTAGTTTCATTTTTCAGTCTGAAACCCTTTTTTTAAAAAAAAATTATGCAAAGCAATTCAAGCATAATCTTTGTTTAGTTTCATTTTCTAAACAAAATGGTGCATCGTCATCCTGTCAGCTCTTTTCACACCCTTGTGAACTGAATCACGGTGATTCTACATTTTATGTAAAGGGGACATTATTTTATGCTCTACCTCTAACATGGTCTTCCTTTGTTTTCTTTGTCTTTCTCTTCTACCATTGGATGCAATGCACTGGCACTAGTGAACTGCAGCCCTCCCTTGACAGGGCTAGGAGTGCTAGTACCAACTGCTTGAGACCAGATACTAGTTTGCATTCACCAGAACGAGAAAGGTATAAAATGAAGACTTTCTTAATTTTCTATCATTTGTACTAGTGACTTTTTTTTTTTGTTTCCAATCACTTTGTTTTGTTTCATGTGAGTCTCACAGGTTTATTCACTCATGTTCACTTTGCTATTTGTCTACATTTCCCCCTCCTTATTATCCATGTCTGTGGAGAGAGATGTGGATGTGGATAACCCAAGGGCCCACATACACACATCTCCATGAATGTTGTGGCAAATGGTGTGATGTAATCTGTAGCTGTTTCTGGCTGCTCTTTCCCTGTTCTGTTGCTGTTTAGTTGTTTTATTTACATACTACTCAGGGAGCCTTCAGTATGCTGATAATCTGATAAGGTCCAATGAGTTATCTGAAGGGAAGGATCATTTTTCTATTAGTCCCACTGATAAATAATATTTATAGGTTTAACAGCAATCCTCCATAAGCCTAAAACAAGAATTATATTTAGATAAAATACTTCCCTTGTGCATCTATATTCACTTTTTAGCCAAACCATTCTTTGATATAAATCAAGTTTTGCATTAAATTATATTTTAACAACAAAAAAATGGTGTGTTCACCATAGATTTCCTGGTTTCTTTTTTTTTTTTTTTTTGGTATGTGCCCCTAGTGGGAACGGAACCTGAGACTCTTTGGCCCGAGGGCCAACACTCCAACCACTGAGCCAAACAGGCCAGGGCTTTTGCCTGATTTCTTAATAGAATAAATATTTAAAAATAAACAATATATGTATGCATATGTACACACATCATTTTGCTTAAAATTTGAATGATTAGCAAATAATTATAATTTTAAATTAAATGTATTCAGTGATTTTTACACTATCCAAATTGTGAGCAGCTAATTTTTCCATTATGATGGAATTTTCTATCCCAGTAAACTTGGTTATAATTGATAGTCTTGTTTATAATTGTTACTTCTTTTCAATTAGAAGTTATCCAGTGGAAATTTGCAGTATGCAAAGTCTACAAATCCTGAAAGAAAATTTTAATCTTGTTAATATAACCCACTTCTTCTTCAGAGGCTGCTTAAAGCTTTTCTTTAGCAATCTCTGTGGTCTGATTCTACTAGTTTATTTATGAGATGTTTATTTATACAGTGGGTTAATAGATAGGAGTTTACATACCCATTTTTTTTTAGTGTCTCTGAGATTCCACTGAAATCTCTTTATTTTCTATTCTTTTATGTTTGTAAAATTTGTAATAGAAAAAATTAAATCTATATTTTGTATTATTTTACATCTGAATTTTAGTTGAAATGACTATAGACTGACTCTTCTAAAATCACAATAGAAATCGTTTCATTTTCTTTTGTAACAGATTAACTCCAAAAATAAATATAATAAATAGTAGCAAGAAAAAAATTTTAGTTATTATTATTTCTTTATATGTTTCTGGTTAGCACTAAAACAAAGGTATAATAGCTTAAGTCAGTGGTCTCTTCTGACTACAACACCACTGTAATATTTCTAACACCATCTCTGCCAGTGCTATCTAATAGAAATATAATGCAAGCCACAAGTGCAATTTAAAATGTTCTACTTGCCATAATGAGATAAATTAAAATTGAATTAATTTTAATACTTTATTTAATCCAGTGTGTTGAAATATTAAACACGTAATCAATTAAAAAATATTAATGAAATAGGTTTTTCCCCCTTTTTAACAATAGTCACATGTGGCTTGTGGCAGCACAAGTCTGTTCTTACGCCAAAGGCTATCTAGCATGTGTTCCCTTGTGACACTGAAGCCATAGTATTCACAAATCCATGTGTTGGTGAATTTAATCTCTTAGATAATAAAACCCTTAAAACAGCACAACCTGTAGAAAAATAATCTGACCCAAGTTAATATACAGGTCAGGTCATTCATCATGAAGTTTAAATGAGTATACTGGATAGAAAAAGAAATTGTGATGGAAAACCTGTATTCATTTTATGATTTGAATAAAAAGAATATTTTTATTAAAAAACAAAAGGGGGCAGGGATTGGTATTATCAATGATTTTTAATTTATTGGGGTCACTTTGTTGGCAAGGAAAAAAAAAACTGTGATAAGTTTTCATCAAGAAAATTATAGAAGTTGTAGATGCTTATTGGTTTGGAGGACAGAGACCTCAAATGCCCTTTTGTGCCCACAACTACAAGGAGCTTTGAAACAGAACATAACAGTATCAGTAGTGGTGGCATTTTTCTCCTTGGAATGCACCCCAAGTCCAGACAGGATATGTAGAGAGTAGGAAGAGGGAGGCTTAGAGAGTTTTTCAAGTTACTTAACTTTTCTGATTGAATAGAGAGCTTCTTATATCAATTCCTAATATATACATAGTGGATAAAATGTTAGAGAAAATAGATTTAAAACCTAATTTCATGTTCTTAAAATAGTAACCCATTTCCACAGCCTTGTGAACTATTAAGTTTAAACAATTTGCTGATTTTAAGCCATTTCTATGAATATTTATATACTGTTATATCAACTTAATACCCTTTCTGAAATGTCCTCACTAACTTTTAAAACAAATGAAGTTTTGTGTTAATATAAAGGATGAAATTGTCAAATCAGACTTAATACCCATCATCATACTTTACTAACGATTCCAAGTGAAGGAGCAACAGGCACAGTTGACATTTTTTTTTTTCTGAAAGAGTCCAAAACCATCTGATCCACCTTTTCTCCCGTTAGGCTGGTTTGCCCTAGTTAACAGATGCATTTTGAGTAATGCATGTAGATGCACTGTTTGCAAAGGAAGCCATTTCTGTTTTTGAGTGCCTCCATTTTATATTCTGTCGATCACACAAATAGCAAAATTACTATGGATTACCCCATTTCCCAATTCAGTCATGACCCATAAATCAAGTAATGTTTTTATTTATAGTGAAAGATCTAGAAAGACTAGTTATGACCGTCTAAACACTTCTAATGAATAAGGACACTCCTTTATCTTTTCACTAGCAAATATTACTGTGTGTTTACAAGGATGTCTGGTCCTGTTCTTTCCCTGTATTTTTATCAAGGTCTGTCTGCGGTCATTCATTCCCCCTTGCTCCTTGATTGGGAAGGAGTAAGTTACAGGTCTGGTATTAACCTTTCTCAGGTTTTAAAACAAATTACTGCTTAAATATTCAGACACTGATTTTTATAGCCACTGGACAATAGTTACTTTTCTCAGATGTTTTATTTTCTTCCTTGATTTTTCATAAAAGTTATAACTTTACTGAAGGCTCATCCAAGGGTAATCCATATTATTACCTTCGTTTCGTACCTCCTGGTAACCCTGCAGCCTGACTGCTACTCCTTCCCACTCTGGCACTGTGCTGAAATTCCTCTCTAGGTTACGTTGGCTCCTTAGTTGTCCAGCAGCATCTTGCAACCTTTTACATTGACTACCCTGCCATTTGACCTCTCCTCTTGTAAGTACCCTCCTCAGATTTTCTTATGCCTCTGTTAGCACACAGCCTACTTTTGCAGATATCTCTTCCTCTCCTAGCTCATAAAGTTATGAGTTTTCTTAGCTTCAGCCTCAGTTTTTCTCTTTTGCCCCAGTCATTCTGTCCCTGAAGTTATATTTCTAACAAAAGTTTCCACTCCAGTACATACAAGGACAACAGTGCACTGTAATTGGCCAAGTCAGCCCTTCCCCCTGAATATTAAGCCTAAATTTATAAATAGTTGCCAGGCCCTGTATATGTCAAAGTTTAAATCAAATTCCTTATCTCCCCTACATCCTTTTATAGCAAAATGTGAACTCTTTCTAAATTTTTCTCACATCTGATGGTCTTGACATGGAACCAACCCCAGAGTCTGGAAATATTTCTGCTGCTCCTTCACGTTCAGTGAGTCAGTGAATCCTATCAGTTCTCTTGAGCACCTCCAAAACAGAACCACCCTTTGACCATGTCCCAGCCCATCTCCAGTCCCCGTAGCACCCTTGCCCGCACTCATTTTGCTCCTAAGCTCTGGTAGTAGTTTATATGACATTTTTGTCTCCCTAGTTTTCTTTCCATTAAAATTAAATGCCCCATTTCCTTTGTTATCCACTTAAAAATTCTACTCATTCTTCAAAAATATATGTCAAAGTACCCTATCTTTTATAAAACCCTTCTTAACCCTATACCTACCCCCTGGATGAAAATGAAAAATAGGAATAGACAATAAAAATGTATATTTTATAATCAGTTATATCATTTGTTCAGATTTAGGTTCTAATATAGTAATTCACAAATATTTTTATCTGTGCTATTTATGGGATGAATGATTCATATTTCCATATAACTTCTCTTTTAGATAATGAAACTACTTAGCCATGTTCTGCCAAGAGATATACACTATTGAAAGATGTGTACATATCAAAGTGTATAAAGTACACACTTAAATGCATACACATTTGTTTTCAGGTATATTCGTGCTAGGGGCAAATGCCACAATATAAGAACCATTTAATTGCTTACTGAAGCGTGTCAACTCTAATTTTTTTATATCTCGTCAATGGGTCCCCTGACTACTATTTACTTCTTAGTTAAGTTTTTCATTATTTCTTACCTGTATTACCACAAAACCTAGAGTCTTATCTCCTTATTATCTACTTAAATATTTATAAATCCTTATTGATTACTTATTCTTTGCTATGCATAATTGATGTACCTGTCAAAACAAAACACAACACAACACTATAGTTCCCTTATGCAAGGAGCTCACAGCCTGTTAATTCAGTCCCACAGACGTCAAGGTAACCATTCTTTGTTTATTCTGAGCCCAGTGAAAAAGAGGGGATTCTAACAAGTAGATATCCCTGAATTAATGAATTTAAAATACCTGATATTAAAGTACTGTTAATCTAACTCACAGGCAAGTTGGTTTGCAAAGAGAAATCTGGAAGAGGCTGGTTTAGTTCAACCTCGTGACAAATAACTACAACATAGCCTGCCGTGTTAGCTTCTAAGATGAAAATGAAAGTTGGAGCTGTGTGTATGGCTCAATTACAAGTGACAAA